AATATATGAGTACTTATACAAAAAACTCCATCTTTTTTTGCTAAACAGCATCAGACGATCACGTGTGGCACAGGCTGACTCTCTCCGACACAGCTTCAGCTGCTGTTAGCAGCGGTGAGCCTGCAGCAGAACTTACCTCTAGCTATGGAGTGTTTTAGCAGCAGAGGATAATCTCGGACTGCAACTGCACCGAAGGAGTGAGAAGGACTTAGAGCGGAATACATGCCAAAACTCCTCAGCGCTATTTACAAGTTCTTATTTAAACCAAATAAAACCCCTCCCTCTACGCTAGCAGCTTAATACCGATGCAGCAGCACCATTAGCTCGCATCTACAAAAACTTGGCAGCCACAAACCCTGCACCCAGCCGCGGCCACCGGCGATAATTTCAGCCGGCGGTTCACGGCAGGCCCGCGGCTGCCTGGCGCTGGCAGGGAGCTGCTGTGGCAGAGATAACCTCACCCTGGAAGCAACCTGGCCCAAAACTGCGGGGAAAGGCTGTGCCGCCACGGGAGATACCGGCACGCTCATCCTCCTCTAGTTTCAGCTGCAGGGCGTGTTTCCATTTCCACAGAGCGGTTTTGGAAACTTCCCGATGGGAAAGATCCCAACTGCAGCCATGCCCCTGCCTTGTTTTCCCTCCCCATCGCTAGGAGCCGGCTGAGCACTTTGCTGGAGTTTTCTGTCACAGCCACGAGAACTCTGCCATGGCACTGAATCCCACAGCATCAGAGATCACGCGAAACACTGAGCAGAATACAAATCAGCCGTACGGAGCACAGCCTTTCAGCCGCGGCCGGGGCTCGGCGCACCCAGCTGCCGGAGGGAGAAACGCCTCTTGTCGTCTGCCAGGAGCCCTCCTTGCTGAGCAACCAAGGTGCTGCTGTTCCTGCCAGCTCTGCAAAACCGACCTTTTGTCTGCAGACTCATAGCACAGATCGATGCCGGAAAGCTCTCGGAGCGGGATCCTCAGACGCCGCATCCCCGGGAATCGGGGGAAAGGAACGAGGGCAGAAAAGCAACAAACGCGGCAGAGGAGGAGCAAACACGCTGCCCAAGACAATACCTCACGTAACCCCGGGCACTGCTTCTAATGCTGCTGGTGCCCGAGGGCTTCCAGGAGATGAACAGATAAAAACAAAGTCATAAAGTTTTTAAGAAAGTCCCTGCACAGGCATCTGACACACTGACACATTTCTACCATTTGCCCTTCCTTTTCTGCTCATTTCCTAAGGCACACACTCTTTAAAGATCGAGGTTTTAAAACGGCCCGGCCCCTTTTAGAAGCACTGCACATCTCCAGGGCGCTGGTTTAACGCGGCGTCTGCCCTGTCCCACACACAGACCCGGGAACTACCGTGCCGGCGGCTCCAGTTCTAAACCACTAAGGCGGCCAGGGACGCTGGGCAAGAGCTCAGGGAAGAAGGAGAAGTAACAGCCTTCCTTTCCAAGGCCGACGACCCCTTCCGCTGACACCCCGCCTCTCCGCCCGGCTGCTCCCCCGGCCGGCAGCAGCCGCCTCAGCTGCACACCCCACACACCCGCCGGGGAAAAGATGGGTCACGGCTTTTGTCTGGGGCCGTGGCAGCGCTCAGCCCTCCGCGAGCTCTCCGGGAAGGCAGCTACGGCCGAGGATGGGGGAAGAGGCGCGGGGTCTCCTCCCTTCCTGCCCCTGTTATTTCACCCCACCCCGTGCCCCGCACGGCGGAAGGCGCTGCCGCCGCCGCCCGGGATGCAGTATCCATGGCAATACGGGATTGCATCATGCTCTTGACTAAACTGCACCGGGGAAAAGACGCTCCCGGCGAGAGCCCCGTCCCTTCCGCCGCCCCGT